TGAAGCAGGAGGATCACCTGGAGTTTGAGGGCAACCTGGGCTGCGTTGTGAGTTCAAGGCCAGCCTGTACTACATAGTGAGACCCTGTTTCAAAACAACCTGAAAAAAAAGGGCAACCTATTTGGGACCCTTCCAGTCTCTCAGGAGCTATTCCTAGTCCCCATTCCTTTTCTCCAATAAATTTTCCTACTCTAAAAAAAAAAAAAAAAAAAAAAAAAAAGTATAAAACAACCAAGAAGAACAAAAACAAAGATCCTTCTGTATGAAGAAAAATAAGAAATAACAAAAATATCACCACAGAACTCAACTTCCCTGTAAAAGAATGTCCAACACTTCCTCTGCCTCTGACCCAAGGTAGCTCCTGGCCTCCTCCCTAACACCCAAGGCTTCCAGGAACTCTGGGGCTGCTGCTGCTGCTGCTTTTTTCTCCCCCTGCTGCTTTTCAGCCCCTCCTCAGAGTGGGCGGTTTTGCCAGTGCTGAGCTCCAGGTGTGAGCCTGGCCTGTGTTTGTCTTCACAGCTGGAGATGAAAGGGCCTCTGGCCTGTTGTAGACTCAACAAACGGCTTTGGAATTGGCGGTCCTACCCACTGCCCGCTGGTTCTCCAGGACGACACTCCAGAAGGAGGAACAGCGTGGTTTCTCAGGTTTCCCGCGAACTCTGAGACTCCTTCGTGCAGCTGCCCTGGTTGGATGCCCACCTTTAATACTGCTCAAGTTCCTCCCAACCAAAAGAAAATAGAAAAAAAAGAAAAATTCGTAAAAGCTACGCTGGAAGTTTTCAAGTATGGCCCAAAGGCCCCTGAGTGTCTTCAAAACCCTCTCACAGAGTCTGTAACCTCAAAACTACATTCATAACACCAAGAGACTGTTCTGGTTTTTCTCTCCCATTTCCTCAGGAGTGGACAGCAGAGTTTTTCAGAGACTACCTGATGAGTGAATTTGTAAAACAGCAAATGTAGAAGCAGATTAGAATTCACCAAGTTCTATTATGTCACCGTCACACACTAAAGCAGGGCACAGCAACTCATGCCTGTAATCTCAATACTCTGGGAGGCTGATGCTGAAAGATTGAAAGTTTGAGCCCAGCCCGGGCAATTTTAGTGAGTTTAGTGAAACCCTATTTTTTAAAAAGAAATGTCTTGGGGAAGTAGTTCAGTGTAAATGTACTGGCTTCAGTTCCCAGTACAGTAAGTCTTCAACGTACAAATATTCAAATTGCGAACATTTAAAGACCTCACATTATGAGCATTTGTAGTTGGGAACAAGTCTCAGAAGCAGCTCACATGTCTGCCTGGCATTGTCTCAGTTGTGCTGCTGTTAGCTTACTGTGCAGTGTGCGAGTGGACAGTAGCACAGTGTCGGCTATTTGTGTCAAAGGTGTATAAGACTTACTTTGTCGGACTTATGAACAAATTCAACTTACAAACATTCTCCTGGAACAGAACTCATTTGTAAATCAGGGACTTACCATACCACAAAAATGAAAAAAATAAAACACAAACCTCAGGCACTAAAAATATAAAATAAGCCACTCTTTTTACTAAATTTGTTTTTGGAAAATATAATCACTTTTCTTTAAAAATACATTAACAAGGGCTGAGGATGTAGCTCAGTGGTAGAGTGCTTGCCTAGCATGTGTAAGGCCCTGAGTTCGATCTCTAGTACCACCTAAATAAATAAATAAATAAATACACTAACAAGGGCTGGTGTCAGGGGTGAATGCCTATAGTCTGAGCTACTTGGAAACCTGAGGCAGGAGAATCACAAGTTCAAGGTCAGTCTGGAGCACACAGCAAGACCTCATCTCAAAAAAGAAAAAGTTAACACTTTACAGGTATATTGCTTTTATTTACTTATTCTTGGTGGTAAGGATCAAACTCAGGACCTTACACATGCTAGACATGAATTCTACCACCGAACTAGATCTTCAGTCTTATTTTAATGTCATTTATTTATTTTGAGATTTTTGAGACAGGATCTCACCATGTAGCCCAGAGTGGCTTAGCCTCACAATCCTGCCTCAGCCTCCAAAGTACCCGGGACTAGAAGAGTGGCCCTTGTTTATAATGTCAGTGAATACGGCTTCAAGGTCTCAATTTCAATTTCTAACACAGTAAATGTGGGTGGCTATATCCCACACAGACAAAAGCTCTGGAGTCCTTGACAATTTTTGTAAAAGGGCCCTGAGATCCCAACATCTCCCGCACCCTCACCCGCTGGCAGCCACACCCTGTCCCCTTCCCTCAGTGGTTCAGGGCCCTGCCTCATAGCTTTCCACCGCAGCTTCTGGCTCACAGCACCTTCCCTGAGGGGGCACAGAAACTCTAATCTTACATTCTCTGTCCACCGTGTCTGATAGTATTTGATGAACCCCCATTTCAGAAGGGGTCCTGCCCCACACCTGCAAGGAACAGATGCTGACACGCCCGGCTGAGCCTTGCTGGGTCACCGCATGGCGTGACCTCTCCATGAAAACCCAAGTGTTTCCAGACAGCTGAATGCACGGCAGCTCCGGGAAGATGGCACTGGGAGGGCACAGAGGGAAGCGCTGCACCGCTCCTCCACACCTCAGCCTGTGCATTCTTCCTCTGCAACCTCCATAGCATCCGGTATAAGAAGCTTGTAGGCACAAGCATTCTGAGCCCTGTGAGCCACTGGAATACATTAAACCCATGGAGGGCACTGTGGGCATCTCCGTGTACAGTCTGTGGGTCAAAAGCACAGGTAAAACAAGTTGGGGCTCTCGACTGGCGCCAAAGGGGTTGTCGCTGGGACTGAGCCCTCACCTGTGGACCTGATGCTGTGGGCAGTGTCAGAGTTAAATGGGGCCAGGGGACGCTGCTGCAGATTTGCTTGCCAGTTTTGCCTGTGTGGGAAGCCACACGCTTAGGGTCAGGGGTGGTCTGTGTCATGAGAGGGTAACGGAAGAAACTGAGCTTGAGTTTGAGACGTTTCTCCCTTGTTCTATTCAACCTGGCGGTCACCAGATCCTGTCAGCCTCGTCCCTACGCTGCTCTCAACCCATCCCGCCCCCTGCCACACCTGTAGGTCTCTCTTGGCCTTTCTGCTACAGCTGGACACAGCACCACTGTGCCCTCCCACTGAGGCCCCCACTGACCCAAGAAATCCTAGGCCAGCCAGGCCGGGTCCTGCCACCTATCTGGCCCCGTGTCTCCTCCCGACAAAGCTATTAGGCTGTCTGACCTTGACCCCACCTCAGGTACAGGCTGCCCCGACTCTCTGTTCGAAGAGGCCCCTCCTCAGGGCCTCTCCCTCGGAAGTCGTCCTACCTGCCCAGTCACCTGGGCAGGGCTTTTCCTCATGCTCACATTCCTGCCCAGTGATCACCATGCTCCTCAGGGAGAAGGGCTCCTCTCACTGCTGCGTCCCTAGTGCCCAGAACGGTGCCTGACCCAACGTGCAGCTGGCAAGCAGCCCGCCCTACCCCATGCGGCTTCCATCCTAGAGCAGGGCTCCGCTGGGCACAGGAGGGCTAGGGGTGGCTGCCCAGGGCTCCCTACGGCACCCCCCACCACTGCCACCTCCTGCTGCGCTGCTCTTACTAGGTTCCCAGAAGAGCCTGGCTGGACTCCATACTCTTCCCAGCCAGGGCCAAGGCACGAGGCTGCCGAGACACAGCTCGGCAAGCAGCCTCCCTGGCAAAATGCCTGCCCGGCCTGGTTAGAGCTGACCCTGCTGGGGACACCCAGACCAATCCAGGTCACAACAGCAGCGGCGCCTGTCATGCCACAGGCTCAACTGATGCTCAGGCAGCTGAACAGAGAGGGAAGGAGCTGGCAGGACTCAAGACTCTTCTGCTGCTGAAGTTTGTCATCTCAGCCCTGTGCCCATCCTACAGGTGCAGGAGTGGCCCAAAGGGCCATTCATTTAGGGTTCAGGAGCCACGGGCCAGGACATGAGAAGAACCCAGGAACAGGCAGGGGGTAAACAAGCAGCAGGCCAGAGGCCACCCTGGAAACTCAGTGTATCACAGTGAGTCCTGGCAGAATGGACAGACAGCACTGCAGCCCCTGGCATTAAGAGACATCAGGTCTTCCAGGCCACAGGATCCTGTCAGCATTGCCCCGGATGTCATCACCATACCCTAACACATATGCTTTTTAAAATTAATTATTTATTTATAGGCAGGATCTTGCTATGTAGTTCAGCCTGGCCTTGAACTCACACTGATCCTCCTGCCTCAGCCTCCTAATTGCTGGGATTACAGGTGTGTGCCATTGTGCCCTGCTCATACACATTCCTTTCACAGGAAGCCAGGAGCCTGGCCTGTCAGGAAGAGGCCAGAGCTGGCCATGCAACTAGAGGAAAACCTGGTCTCAGCCTCCTCAGCCTGCCAGCTAGGGAGGGTGAAACCCAGGGTCCCAGGTCATGTCCCAGGTCAGCAGCAAGGGCGCTACTCAGAGGGCTGCCAAGATTAGTTGCATGAGCTAAATTCTACACAAGCTGGAGACATTATCTGCATGTACTTGGACCTAGGTCGGGGATGGCAAATGTTTTAGAGACTGAGTGCTCAAACTGCAACCCAAAACCCACTTATTATCACAAAGTGCCAATGCTGCAATTAAGCCTGAGTGCTTGGCTGCTGGCGCAATGCTGCAGTGATTTGGCTTGAGTGCTGACAGGGAGGCCTCTGTGTGCTCACTGCGGCACATGTGCCATAGGAACACTGCCACTGATCAGAGTTTGTTTGGTTGGGTTTTTTGTTTGTTTGTTTGTTTTCCGGTACCAGGAATCAAACTCACAACCTTGCACTTGCCAGGCAGGTGCTGTGCTGCTGAGCTAAATCCCCAGCCCCTCCACTGATCAGACTGTGTCCCTGGGAGTGACAGAACCTGGTGGTCTGGCCTGCTCGGCTGCCCCTACCTGGAAAAAGGGAAGAGGGGCAAAGGGAGCCCTTTCCCTTCTTAGAAGCCTTCCTGAGCTTGCTCCTTGCTGATGCCAAGTCCTGTGTACAGAAAGAATCACATTCTAGCGCAGCACAGATGATGAGATCAGTTTATGGGTAAACGCATGGAATAGACTGGGAAGGCGCCAGGGCCTGTAGTGATGAGCTTCCCAGCAACAGAACAAGAGATACACAGGAGTAGCCCAGACAAGCAGACAGACAGAGAGACAGGGAAACAAAGCCACAAAGGTACGAAGCCCAGGCTTGACTCTCAGAGTGTGCAGGCATCAGATCCATCTCTGCCCTGGGCTCCCACGACATAAGCAGGCCTCAGCCTTCGTGGGGTCCCTCCTTGCTCCTGCCCTTCACACAGCAGGAGGAGCTCTCTCAGGGCTGGGGAATGGTTAGCCTGGGTGGACAGAGGATGAAGGTGCATAGAGGCCCCTGGAGAGCTGGCGGTCTGGGTGATGTGGGGTTAGCAGCAGCACTGGGGGGATCTGGTCAGGCACCAGGGGTCCGGGCTGGGCCACCGCACAGCAGGGCCTATTTCCAGGGCAGGCCCCCCACCCTGCCCACCACACCAACATGGTGCAATAAATCAAGTTTCAAGTAGAAGTCAGCAGCACGCAGGGGAGCTGCAGGCTGGCAGACAGGCAGGGCTTAGGGGCTTAGGCAGAGGAGCCCCCAGCTGCCTGCTGTGTCCTCTGATACAGGCACTGGGCTGGGCATCTGCCCCCAGGTCTGCATGTGCACTCCCTGCAGGGGCTCTGCCCCTCAGACCAGTGCCAGAGCCTGTTCGATGGGGCAGAAACAGGGCAACATGGAGCCCACAGCGTCCACAATGGCTTCCAGATGCTCATCCTGCGCCTGAGGCCCACAGAGCTGCATGAAGTCAGCGAGTCGCAGCAAATACTCGAGGTTGTGGCCAGAGAAGCCCCGACAGGCCAGGATCTGGGTAGCGATGGCCTCCTCTGGAGCGGGGCCCAGGTAGCCAGGGTTCTGTGGGGTGGCCACATAGGCCAATGCCTTGAGCGGCTGCTCAGGTGCATCCTGAGGGTAGAAGGTCACTTCCTTGGTGTCATAGCCGCCAAGCACGGCCTCCCGCACATTGAGGTACTTCAAGGCCTCGTTCACCTGCTCTCCTCGAACCTGGTATGCCACACCCCAAGTGCAGCCCTGTGGGGGAACAGAGACACCTCTGGTCAGTGACAGAATGCTACCCTCCCCTGGGGTTGTGTGCATAAGGGAGTAGGTTAACCAGGCGATCAACTATTTCTGGCAATGCACTCAGCTGTCTTGCTAGGTACATACTACTCGCTATATAGTTCTTGCTGGCTTTGAACTCACTATGTAGTCCAGGGTGGCCTGGAACTCACAGCAATCCTCCTGCCTTGGCCTCTCTGGGAGCACAGGTGTGCGCCACCACACCCAGCTTATTCCTTCTTAAGGGGTGAGGAGGTGCTCTGGGCCCAGAGAGAACAGAATCCCTGCTCATAGTGAAGGCCAGGAACTAACCAGGGACATTGCTGGGAAGCTTGTTAGAAATGTATCTCAGGCCCCACTCTAACTCTGCTGAACTAAGCCCGGCTTTAACAAGCTCCTCAGGTGAGTCTGAAAAACACTGCGGAGACTACGCTTCCGCTCCGCCAGCCGGGCACCATACCCAGCTGCAGCCACAGGCCCCAAGCGCTCTGCCTGTCCACACCCCTGCCCTCTGGGCCCTGGCACTTACCTCACGATCTTCTAGAAGGGTCACCACACGGCCAGGCTAAGTAGAGCAGAAAGGTTCGGGAAAAAAAAAAAAAAAATTAGAAATCCGCCTGGTCAACAGTGAAAGAACACCCTTAACACCCCGGCGCCCGAGCCGCGAGACTCCCACGTGTCCAAGGAACCAGCCGGGCTGCTGGAGGGATGGGAAGACAGGGCGGCGCGCGCCTGCTCATCACCCCAGGAACCCTCAGGTTCTGGCTCCAGGCATCACATGGCGATGCCCCGCGCACTCCCATTTACACCGCAAGCCGGGGCACAGGTGGACACATTTCCCTCGCAGCCCAGCGCACCCCGGCTGGCAGACAGGCGCTACCCCCAGCCTGGCTCCCCGGCACGGTCGGACGCTCACCATCTTGTCGCTGCCCCGATGGAAGGTGTCTCCCTGCCAGAAACGCCGGCTGTAGCCCCGCACGAAGCCCACGCGGCTGGCGCTGTAGGCGAAGTCGGGCCTCCACACCAGGGAGCCGTACCCGAAAATCCACAGCGCTTGGGGGTCGCTGTCCTCCCCAGGGGGCTGCGCGGACTGTAAGGCGGACGGCGAGGAGGGCGGGGTGTTCTGGGCCGCGGGGTCCTGCTTCATGGTGCCGGGCACAGGGACGGCCCGGGCGGCCTCCGGAGCGGGTCTCCGACGCGGGCGCGAAGGACCGACGGACGCGCACACCTGGCCTGGCACCGCTCGGCCGCTCCAGCTGAGTGAACCCCTGCGGAGGCGCCCTTTAAACCCTCTGGCCGGGCGGCTCCCCGCCCTCGTCGGCCAGCTGCCGCGGTGATTGGGGCGGGGCAGACTCCCTTCCGGCCAATCACCTTTGGACAGTGCTTCTCGGTTAACCGCGCGGCACTCTAAGTGGGTGGCTGAGCGACCCGCCCCGGGCGCAGCGCGCGCGCTGATTGGCTGGGCCCCGCCCCGGGAGCGACCTGGCAGGAGTGATGCAAGGGCGGCGGAGGTTTCCCATCGCGGCTGCAGCAAGGGACCAGTGGATTGCGTCAGGCGGCGGCGGCGGCGGCGCTGGCCTGGCACGGACGCGGCCTCCTTGTGCCGCCCGCTCTGGAGGCGCCGTAGCGAGGGCCTCAGCTGCGCGGCGCGTTCCGCATCCGGTGTCCGCCGCGCCACGCGCTGGGGCAGGGCCGGGCCTGACGGGCGAGGCGCGCGGGGGCCACTCGGGCTGGCGGAGGCTCCCGTCCCTGCGCCAGCACCGGGAGCCGTCCGCATTCCGCGCGGATGCCTCACGCCGCCGGCCCGCGTGAGCAAGTGGGGAAACTGAGTCACGGGGCAGCGGGGAGTTCTGCAGAGGTCGCGGTTGAATCAGGCGGAGCGGCACGAGTTTGCAGGTCTCACGTGACAGCGACGTCCGGCCAGCGTGGGACTCCCACCCAGGTGGGTTGAGGAAGAGCCGCCAGCGCTCCGGGAAGCTGTCACCTGGGGTCGTCGCTGCACCCGCGGGAGAGGCCGTGAAGACCGGCGCGCCCCGACGCGAGGGTTTGGGTTCCCGAGGTGAGGGTTTGCCGGGATGGTCATTCCTTGAGCGCTGAGGTTCCCGCGGGCGCGGCCTGGGAAGCGCCCTGCAGACCTGGCTCCAGGCTGCTCTGAGCTTGGGGCGGGCCCTGTGGCCAGGAAACCGGTACTGCTTCTCATTCGATTGTGATTGAACGAAAATCTATCTGCGAGCTGCCGCACAGTTACTCTACAGGTGCCTCTGCGAAGAGGAGGAAGCGATTTCTTTAAAAACAAAAACAAGTTATCCCGTCGTGCTTGTGTAGGAAATAATCTGAAAGATGAGGTCTAAACTGTACACAGAGGGTGACACCAAAGGCCAACTTTTCAATATTAAATTCTCATGTATGAAAAAGTCTGGGTTCTTTACAAAGAACATAAATTAGTTTTCCCGTTGGGAAAAAACAAAAACCAGGCCCTCAAGCAGAATGGTCATTCCTGCCAGGTGTGGTGGTGCACGCCTGTATTCCCAGCACTTGGGAGGCTGAGGCAGGAGTATCGTTGTGAGTTCAAGGCCAGCCTGGGCTACAAAGTAAGCTCAAGGCCAGCCTGCACTTCATAGTGAGACCGTCTCAAAAAGACAAAACAAACAAACAAAAAAACAGAATGGTCATTCCTGGTCATTCCCTTTTCCTCCTGCTACCCACACTGCCCATGTTCGCTTCCCCTCTTCTCTTATCCCAGGCCTGTCCTTGTTCCTGCTGGTCATCAAAGGCCCTCCACTGCCGGCTTCTTCAGGAAAAGCTCCAGGTTTCTTCAGTGGGACACGCTAGAAAGATCTGATTGGCACCACCCACCTTTTGGGAAAGCAGCTTGGTGATACAAATCAAGAATTATTAAATATCCCTGCCCTTTGACCTAATATTTCTACTCCCGGAAATTACTCAAAATATGGGGAAAGCCATATGCCCGAAGATTTCCAATGCATTGTTATTTATTATAGCAACAACAAAAGAAGAAAAACTACTTACACATCCAAAAATAGCTAAATATTTAAGTAAATTGTGGTCAGTTCACACGATGGAGAAGCACAGACAAACACACAGACTGTCACACAGGAACAACTTAAATATTCAGCCACATATGGTTACATACATTTGATATATAAGGTGTGATCAAAAGCTACAGTGAATATTGATGCCCTCTTTTATAGGTCTATTACAGTAAGACACACATTCCCACTAATCCCCCGTGTTTTGAACAGTTATTCCATGGTTCTTGCCAGTCTGGAGCAGTTCTGGATGTCCTCTTTCTTGAGGGTCTTTAGTTGTGTTGTCACAGCTGCGTCCATGTTGATGCCTTTTGTGGTGATTTTGACTTTGAGGAAGAGGAAGAACTTACATGGTACCAGATCTGATGAATAGATGGTTGAGGACACTGTCACGTTTTATGTCTTTTTTGGTTTTTTGTTTGTTTGTTTGTTTTTTTAAGGAGGGATTGAGATAGGGTCTCTATGTAGTCTGGGATAGACTCACAGCAACCTTCCTGCTTCAGCCTCCCGAGTGCTGGGATTAAAGGCATGTGCCACCATATCCAGCCTGTCACATTTTTACAAGGCTGCCTTTTTTTTGGATGGCACCCAGCAGAAGCACTCACTGTATTTTTTGATCACACCTCTTTTTTTTTTTTTTTTTTTTTTTTTTTTTTTGGTCTTTTGAGACAGGGTCTCGCTATGCAGTTCAGGCTGGCCTTGAGCTCACTTTGTAGTCCAGGCTGGTCTTGAACTTGCAATGATCCTCCTGCCTCAGCCTCCCGAGTGCTGGGATTACAGGCGTGTGCCACCACACCCAGCTGATCACACCTCATAAAGACGTGAAAGAGGACTTCTTTTGTGTAAAGAGGGATTACAGGTGAGCACCACACCAGGCTCCCAGACCTCTTAGACTTAAAGAAATATAACCTACCTTTTTCCCTTAATATGTGTCACATATGTTTCTATGCCAATAAGTGTAGGCATATGTAATTATTTCCAGAGGCTTCACAGATTTCATGGGCTTTGAAATATGTGGTGAAACTGAGCATGGTGGTGCACACCTGTAGTCCTAGCACTTGGGAGGCTGAGCAAGAGGATTGTTGAGAGTTCGAGACCACCCTGGGCTACAAAGTGAGCTCAAGGCCAGCCTGAGTTACATAGCCAAGAGCCTGTCTTAAAAAAAATCCATTATGAAAAAAGTAAATAAAAATCTCTTTGGGTGCATAATAAGGCAAAAATGCATTTTTAAAGATTAAAAACCATGATTAAAACAAAAGTGACAAGATGCCTGGGAATGAAGGTGGAGGGGATCAGATACCAGTGATGGGATGTTGGTGTGATAGGTTAAGTTTTTCTCTGCTTTCCAAGTTGCATGAAGTATAATTTTTACGTATGAAAATTACTTTGAAGGAGTAGTTGATGCTTTTCTGACTGGATATGGTGGCACATGCCTTTAATCCAGCACTCAGGAGGCTGAAGCAGGAAAGTTGCTGTGAGTCTATCCCAGACTACATAGCGAGACCCTATCTCAATCCCTCCTTAAAAAAACAAACAAACAAACAAAAAACCAAAATAGACATAAAACGTGACAGTGTCCTCAACCATCTATTCACCAGATCTGGTACCATGTAAGTTCTGCCTCTTCCTCAAAGTCAAAATCACAACAAAAGGCATCAACATGGACGTAACTGTGATAACACAACTAAAGACCCTCAAGAAAGAGGGTGGGGAAATTCCCAGGACAGTCTTGCTTAGAGCTTTACCCATCCCAGCTGTAGACCAGGCCGCACCTTTCTAACAACCGCTCTCCCCAGAAGCTTAGTATCAGGCTCCTGCCCAGGCCGTTAGACACTCCCTCTTCCACCCTCCCAGGCCCTTTGGGTCACCTGTGTTTATTTACCCATCCCATCCACCTGTGCTTATAACAGAAGCAGTCATTTATTGAATGCTTACCATATGCCAGGCAGTTTGCGAAACACTTTCATACCCGGTCTAATTATAAACGTCTACCCTACTTTGTGAGGTAAATATCATTTCACAGATAAGCAGACAGGAAGCATCAGTAAGCTCATGGTGACCCAGCTCCCAGCCTCCTCCCGTTGTCCTTTGACATCCCGCCTTCCCCACCCCTGAGCTCCCTGGCAGCAGGGCTTATCAAAAGGCCTGGGAGCTGACACAGAACTGGCACCTGGAAGGTTCTGCCCCAACGCAGGATGAGGGAAGCCCTTGGGTAAGGCCAGGGCGATGTCTTATGACCCAGCTCAAACATGACCCTCTCAGAGCAGGAAGATAGCACAGAAGATACCAAAGGGATCTTAAACACCTTCCGTGAACGTGGCCTGCCAGTTTCCAGTCTTTGCCTGCATCTCTCTCCTTCCCTGCCATGAGACACTCGAGCAGTAAACCATAGATCCCCTTCCTCTGTCGCCTCGGAGCAAACCCTTCCCACCTTTCCTCCCCAGACCCTTGAGAAGGGCCGCTGAGGCCGGCTCAGGAGAGACGAGGCCCAGACATCACCTGCGCTTTGCAGAGTCGCACATGACTCACACGTGATGAGCACGTGATGGCTTCCTCTCCTGGACTTTCCCAAATTAATCTTTCCTGATTGTTTTCCTTTATGTGGGTGCTGCTCATATCCTTACAATCTGTTCCATCCCTTCTCCTTGCAGACGTTGTGATGCACGCCGGTGTTAGCAGTCATGATTGTCTGACACGGAGGGAGCTATGGAATGACGTTCGCTTAGTTTGCTAAATGATGCAGTTGGTTTATAAAGCTGCCAATTCCAGAAGGATGCAAAACGTGCCCAGACCCAGGTGGGAGTTCAGCTCGTGCAGATGTGAGCCTGCTCCGCCACTCACCAGCTGCACCACCTTAGCTGTGTTGCCTCTGGGCCTCCACTTTCCCCAGCGTGAAATGGGAGTAATAGGAATAGCATTCACCTCACAGGGACTCACAGGGGCTGGAAGAAATAACTCCTTGACCAGTGCCTGGCACATGGGAATGCCCTGTAACCACAGGCTCCTTTTTATTTCACTGTGGACTTTTAATTTTCCATCTTATCCAGAGCAGAGTCATAGTCCATCTCTCAGTCTGCCACAGCTCTGTAGAACTGAGTGGCTAAGGAAACAAGCAGGGTAAACATTTTAAATTCACTGGAAGAAATCTCCAGCCATCTCACACTCTTTCTTTCTTTCTTTTGGTACTGGGGATTGAACTCAGGGCTTTTGCACTGAGCTACAATCGCAGCTCTTTTTTATTTTTAACTTTGAGACAAGGTCTCACTAAGTTGCTGAATTCCCCAGGGTGGCC